AGACTGTTGCGTGGGATCCGGTCATACGCTTTCTCTAGGTCCACAAAACACATGTACACCGGCTGGACGTGCTCCCACGATTTCTCAACACTCTGGCGCAGGGCAAATATATGGTCAGAGGTGTTTCGACCAGACCGGAAGCCGTATTGCTCTTCTTGAATCTTGACGTCAACTATGTCACGGCACCTTCTTTCTAACACCTTTGCGTATACTTTACTTGGGAAGCTTAGTAACGTTATGCCCCTACAATTGGAGCATTCCTTGTGGTCTCCCTTCTTGAATACGGGTACAATAACTCCCGTTCTCCAGTCCGCTGGTGCCTTTCCCGCAGTCATCGCAGTTTGGTAGACACGTGTTGCACATGCATTGTTCGCAAAATGCCTTGAGCATATCAGGGCGGATTTCATCTATTCCAGCAGCCTTTCCATTTTTCATGCGTTTCACAGCTCGTGTAATTTTATCTACAGAGATAGTAATTTCCGTACCCTTTTGCTCTACACGCGAGTCTTCCTGCGGTTGCCTGGGGTTAAGGAGTTCCTCAAGGTACTGTCTCCATCGCCAAAGAATGTCCTCATCTTTGGTAAGAAGGTGTCCAGGCCTGTCTTTCAGGACTTTTCGACTGCCCTTCTTTTCACCTCGGAGCCGGCGTACTGTTTGCCAGAATTCAAGGAACCAGCTTTCTGGCTATGCTGGAGAAGTTGTTCTCGCGGTTTTCTTTTGAAGGATTGTTCGCTGCGAATAAACGAATTTAGACGAATTCTGAAGGGGGCACTCGTACACAGACAGCATAACTGTGCCGAGAAAAATACTCGAGCTTTCAACTGCCTTGGCACGTTTCACGTTTCTCGACTCTGTGTAGCCTTCAACTCAGTTAATCCCCAAACAAAGTCATATGTCATTGCACACCAAAGCAATCCTGTAGGCGATGGTAAAGCGAATTAAAGGTCTGTACGAAGAAACGAAATATCCCGTCCTAAGTGAAGGATCGCTGCCAGATTGGTTTAGGGTCGCCGGTGGAGGTCATCAAGTTGAGATTTTCTCGTGTTTCTTTTTTAACATCATGGCAGATTGTGTAATATAAAACACTGGCATGCCAAATTATACCGAAGGATCATGAGGCAGAGACGTAGCTCGAGATATCCATCAGTATTCCTAACGGGTCTTAAATAGGTCAATAGCCTACTGACACACACCGAAACGGGGTGCAACACTATTATGCTACTGGGGCCCACAGATCAACGCCAGGAAGACATAGATTAGAAGCGTGCCAGCTGTGACCGTAAACCTGAGGATGGTACTGGATTGTATTACTACTGACGGGGTGTATCATTTCAAATGTCTTTAAACTGTGTTAACTAAGGATGGCGACACTGTTGCTTAGTGAATCGGCGTGTCAGACTAGCATAAGTGAATTATGGCAAGCCGTATGACCTAAGGAGGGATCAGAAAAAGAACGCCATTCTGACAGTAGCCGCATTCGTGGTGCTCATGTACAGTCTGAACGCATATGTTGCCTTGAAGCATCATGAGTTATCTCTCTTCATAGCTTCTAACAGTGCTGGGTGCTTAGTATCCTCTAAAGGTGATCTTACCACCTTATCACAAAACAGTAAACGCTGAACGACCCCGGTCTGAGAAAATTATCGCATGAAATCAGAGACCGGCGTCTGGCTTGATTTCATAAAACGGCTCAGAAAGTCATGAAAATATAATAAACATTTTTCTCGTTGGTCGTAAAAGCATCTGCATTGAAAGACAAACGTGCAGACATCTCTTTGAGGCAGATCTGCTTAGAAACTGGATGTGAAGTTTGTCGTAGCAGCCAACGTTGCCAAATATGAATCTGGAATATACCATTTCTAAAGGTCAGACATCATAAATCAGGGTTACTCTACTGTTTAAGCTCTGCTTGCTTCAGATGACGAGGACAAAATAACAGCAGTAACAACAAACGTTTAAGTTTGCAAAGTATTTTGTTTAAATAAAACACGGAAAATCTTGTTTCTCACCACAGGTAAACTAAAAACTGCCCCAAATATAACTTCAGCTATAACTGGGAACTAGGAACAAATTCATATGCGACCTAATGGACTGTATTCACATAT